GATTTGGTGATGGGAAACCCGCAGGGATTACAATCGAGATGGAAAAAAAAATGTGCAAAATGATGTAAAAAGAAAGGGTTCTGTTTCAATGAGAGTTCAACTCTGGAAATATTTCCTCACTTTGAAAGTAGAGCAACCAGACCTTGCAAAGGGGCACCGTTTGTATATGAAGACAGGAAACCCAGCATCATTTGATGTTCCAATTAGAAAACATTAAGGAAATTTCTGTTTCAGTACCCTGAATTACCCTGAACTTTTGACATATTTTGGCCTTTTTTGAAAAACCCATTAATGCAGTTTGATGAGTAAAACTGTGAGGTTAGTGCAATTGATTGCTTGCAAACCCTTGTTGCAAAAGACTTGTGCACCCTCTGTGTCAGCTCCTTACACTACTCACTTACTTTAAGGTGCCCTTTTTCTCCCATAGAGGATACAGACATCATCCTAGTGGATTAACATCAGTGATGTTTTATTCACATGGGTAGAAAGGTGTTAGGGTCTTCAGATTCCTGTCAACACACCACACAGATGGCTCTGCTGAGGAGGGCCTCCCTCTGCCATGACAACTCACTGCCTAGTACTTGAGTTTCCAGAGAGTCAGCAGTGGAGAGGGAAGCAGGAGAGGGCGTTGAGTGCTTGAGTCCTGGAAACTCCCTACTCTACAAGTATGCAAATGATTTATTGGAACTGTAGTCAAGTTTCCCATAACTAGATACATCAATTCCTACTACTGGCTCCTTGTTCAAGGGTCTTAAATGATATTTTTTCCATTATCCAAATTCAACTGGCTCCTCTAAATTCTCATTGTCTCAAGTGTTCTGTTTCAGTGACCAACACTTCAGTGTCCCCCATGTTAGGAACAGTCTTAGAAATTCTCCCAAATAAGTCAAAAACATAATGGCAAGTGCTCATACATTTAGGAATTTTGAAATCAACTTAAGCACATTGACCCTTCAGATTGAGAATGGTTGGATGTCTGCATTTTAAAGATGAGCTTGCTTTCCATATATCATGGTTATGAACATGTTTTCTCACTTAGGGAATACACTGAAAATAATGAGAACTACGTTGAAGTGCCATTGGTTTTTGATCCAGTCATAAAAGAGGACTTGAACATGGATTTCAAGTGTGTTGTCTTTAATACAGTGAGTTTTCAGACGCTACAAGCCACAGTCAAAGAAGGTATGTATTTGGGAGACATTCACGGGGAGAACGAAGGTTGATTACTGTCTGGGTGTGAGGCAGGCTACTCACTCTTCACGGGATTACTTAAGAGGTCTTTTGCATTTCCTGTGAGTAAAGCACTAAGAGCAAAGCTCATGGAGTTTGATTGCTTTTTGGTAAAATAGAAGCTGACTTTGGGAAATTATAGTCCGATAAAAGTTTAAATAGCAAGCTGATTATGGGAAAAAGATAAACTTTAAAAAATCTTGTGTTCTCATGTTAGTGGGGTTAGTGGGAGCAATTGTTCCCGATGGGCTTTTGAGGAGGATGAGGTGTATTTATGGCAAAGTTGAATAAGTTCACCCCTGATAGCTGAGCACTGGGAGATGCCCAGGACCCAGGGCAGCTTTGGGCTTAAAGTCATTAGTCAACAAAGATGAAGTGGAAACTACAGCCAAATCAGCCTCTGGATCATCTAAGGACATTTAACAAAGAAGAAAAGCAAAATTGACACTGAGTAAGAGAGGCAATCACTGTAGCCTGTCGACAGCCACAGCGTAAGGGAACGATAGGCTAGACCAGCCAAAGCTCCCCAGGGGGACTCTCAAGGGCTCCGTGCTGTCTGCAGTAAATAGGCTACTGCACATCTCCCAGATTGCTGGGGGAGGCAGCACCAGACAACTTTTCACTGTAAAGCAGCGGGATTTAGTCAATGCTCAAGGCAGTGAATGACAACCCAACATCAGTGTCCTCCATCTGTGCAGTTACTGAAATCACTTGTGGAAGACAGATTCCTAGGCTCACTCCTGATGTCCCCAGATTCTCTTGGGGGAGGTCAGAGGCTGCAGCTTATTAGTAAAATCCTTTCATATTAAAGTTGGAAAACCACTTTTCTGTGACATCTGAGCCAACACTGGTGTTCAGATGGCTTCTGTGGGAGACTTTGTGGTGGGAAACACTTGGAAATGAAGGGCTTCACAGAAAGCAGTCAGCCTCCACTTCTTGGGTTCATATGGGTGACCCCAGGAAATCTGTTTTTTTATGGTCCTGTTCCTGGAAACCTTGAAGAATTTCTCCAACATGAGTTTTGGGGGGCATCTCCTTTGCTGGGATGGCCATGATGGAGGGCAGAGAAAACAACTGAAAGTTTTTCACTGAGATGGAGACTTGGAAAACTAGTTTTACTCATTTCCCTGCTTTGTGGGATTTTAAGATGTAAGAGTCATCTGGAGAAATAGTTGGAGATCGCCCTGACTCCGGGATGCCACGATAGCCCATTTTAAATAGCAACATGAAAGTGTAGAATTCCGGCCTTGTCACCAATGTGTCTCACAGCAGTCACGTTCTTGTATTTACTCTTTAACTCCTTATTCGTAGTCTCCTCTATGCTTTTATCACCATCACAGAGATGCCATGAAATAGAGTATAAAATAGCTGGGTCCTGGCCCTCCCTGGTGGCGCAGCGGGTTAAAGCACAGCACTGAGAATCTGAAGCCACTTCCATATGAGTTCGATTCCCGCCTGCCGCCTGCCCCGGAGGAGACCACATGGCGAGCCAGACCTCTCCTGACCCGCCCGCTACTCCCCTCAGCAGTGTACTTCATCGATCTGCCTGTTCTGCTCCCCACTCTGTCTCTGGTGAAGCCTCTCACCGCTCCTGAGCCTCTGGCCTGTACCCCAGTTCTGTATGAATAAATAAATCTTTAAAAAAAAAAATAGCTGGGTCCAAGCAATAATCCTGACACCAAAGATTGACATTTAGAGTCTGTTTTCTTTTTATTTGTTGCTTTATTTAATTCTGTGATATTCAACGCTCATTGGAAAAGGGACAGTTCTACTGTCGTCCTGTCACATTTGGGGAATGGGACATGACAGATGGCCTGCTAGACAAGTAAAGCAAAGCTAGATTCTCAACACTTATCCCCCACTCTGTGTTTTCTGGTGGATTTTGCTCCATTTTGTTGGCCATGACATCATTATCAGACACCCTTAATACTAATGTGAGGGGTATATTTTCTGGAATTCAGTGATCATTTATTGGAAACACAAAATTTCAGTTCCTTTCTTCCCTGCAAGCCATACTGACCTATCTATTTGGCAGTGAGAGAATGTTCAACCTAATTGATTCTGTTCTTCTTGCAGCTGCCACATTCTCCTGGAAGATTGCACTCGCCCCCCTGTCGCTGATCTCACTGGTTTTGGGAGGAATGTGGCTACACAGACGATATAAATGCAAGAAGAGAAAACCATATGGTTTGACCATATTGAAGGGTATCCGTCAAGATTTTCAGTCTCATCCACATCATAAAAAGGAAATGAAATAATTCAAATACAAACAATATCCTTTCTTATTAAAATGGCTCTATTTCCTTCAGTTGTTTAACAGACTTGCTGAATTTATAGTGGGTTTTGTAGTAAAGGATGGAAATAGTCCAGTTTTTCTGAAAGCAAATGACAGCAGTGCAGGCACATTTGTGTACACAAAGAGCACTCTGCTTTGTGACCTATTTAAAAAGTGAACCACCCTGAGGTTTGAATTAGAGTTGAAAATATCTAAGTGAGTTTTAGATATTCATTTAGAATTTATTTACTCATATACATTTACTCAAAATGTATTAGAAATCTATTTTGTCTGTGCTGTATAGATTTCTATATTATAGTGCATAGATAGATGCTGGAAATACAGTAATTTGTCTTTTGAGAAGATGGCATTTCTTTTTGAGACTGGAAAGGATGACTCACAAATGGCTAAGAAGAAGAATCAGCAAGAATTGGTGAATTTGTTGAGACACATGATCCCAAAACATAACACTTTAAATGGGCAGACTGGGGAAAACATGTGGTGAAAGTGTCTGCCTAAGGTCATCCAAAAAACGGCTTACACTTGCATGCTTCTCACACCAGCTTAACAGCAGGAGATGCCCGATTACCTAGACACCTGCATTGTTGAAGGTAGCAGCCAGAGAGAGGTGTCTTGGTGGAATCGGAAGCGGGGGCGCAGATCCCCAAACATGAAGTGTCAGGCACACAGCTGCAGCCTCCTCTGCCCCTGCAGCAGCTGTCCAGAATGGGGAACAGACAGAGGAGGGACTGATTTGGGGGCACACATCTCAGAGGTACTGCAGAGCCAGAGACAGGGAAGTCTGAGCCCCCTAAGTGGTAGGCGAGACCCTTCCCCTTCCTCTCACCCTAGGAAACGCAGGGAAACTTGTTCCCCACACGCAAGTCTCCATCTGTACCAGCTACAAACATACTCTGTTTCTCCTTACCCCCTAGCCCACTGCAATTGGCTACAAAATGAGATACCACCTCATCTTGGTGGGAAAGGCTCCGATCCAAAGAACCAGAAACAATAAGTGTTGACAAGAGTGTGGGGGGAAAGGAATCTTCTTATACTGTTGTTAAGAATGTAGATAGGGCCCTCCCT